GCCGAAGAGGCCCCCACAAATTTGTGGTATCAAGTGGGCAACTACACAGACTATTGAGTTATTTTCAAAGGTTCAACAGCAAGTTCGAACTCTTCGAAAATAGCTCTCTAGTCATATTTTATATTTTATTATATTACTGTTTTGCTCGTCATTAATTTGTAGTTGTAATTGGAGATGATGGAATATTCCATCTCCTTGGGACATCAAATTTGTGTCCCTCAGAATCGTCAAAAAGATGCATATGTGTTCAGTTAAAGTCAGAAATATTAAAATTTTTGTATTATTAAATTTTTAAGCTTAAATAATGTTCGTTAAATATTACAGTAATTTCTCTTTTTTTGTTTGGTCTTTAAGATTTTTCATTGTGATCGTATTTTATTAAATTTGCAATTTTTCTTTTTTATATAATGCAATTTAAAAGTATTTCATAATAATTAATAGATAATATATATATTTTTTGTAATAACTCAATATTTATATTTTTTCTATTTCTTTAATTTTATAAATTTTATGTAAATGTAAAATCACGCGTTTAAATTTAATTTCATTGCAACGATTAATAGAGATTTGATAAAAATAAATAGAGAATGCAATTGAAAAGTGCATCTGCGAATTGGACGATTTATATGTCAGGCTATTGTATCACTTGATTATATGATTGATATAGTTTTCTTCTTGTTACAGGTGATCATCGTTGGATTTAATAACAAAGCTTCGAGATTTTCTTCGATTTAAATGACTACTATTTTAAATTTATGTATTAATGCATTTCTGAAGGCACACACATGTTTATACACTAAAAATTAAATATAATTATTTAAAATTCTATTATAATATAACTATACTATATATACTATCAAAGAATATATCTCGCCCACTGGTGTTCCCGGTACTAACTAAAATGATTTTAGTTACGCGAAAAGACTACTTGTGAGCTTCTATGTAATTCTGTATTCTTTGGATGCACTTTGGAAAAATACAATATTTGTATATAGTTTCAACTCTTCTCGTAAAATTTTATTGGCATATTAATAATGGATAAAAATTTATCTAAAGATGCTGTAAACAAAGATTTGGATTGGGTAGCAATAAAAGATGTTGCAATTAATGAGGTTGCAATTGGGAGTTTACCTGAAAGTGCAAAGGAGAAATTTATTCGTAAAATCAAAGATAATCCTTTTGTACCATTAGGTAAACATAACCTCTTATCAATTAATTAAATAATCTTTGATATTTTTTTTTTAATTAAGTAATTCTCTCTCTAATAGAAATAGAATATATATAATCATGTTTATTTATGATTAATATATACCATGTTAATATAATACTATTTTATATAATAATAATCTTATAATTGTATAAATATATTATAATATTATTTTAAATATAAAAATAACTTCAGGTTCGCTTGCCACAGTATCCGCACTTTTTTATGGATTATACAACTTTGTGCAAGGAAATTCACAAATGTCGCAGTATATGATGCGTACAAGAGTTGCTGCTCAAGCCTTTACTTTCATTGCTATAGCCACTGGTTTCATTCTAGCACAGAAAAAATTCAATGCTAAAACAACAGATAACAAAGTAACATAAAGAAAATCTTTTACGTTTAATCAAATTTTAGCACAGGTATCTTGAATAATAATATATAATTTTTAAACTTATCAATGTCTTGTAAATTCGTATCTTTAAAAAATCTATTTTTACCAATAAAAAAAGAAAACTATGTAAAAAGTATCCTTACTTAGGATTAAACAATAAATTGTTTACAAAGAAAAAAATTATTACGAATATAATACTTTCTCAACAGAAACAAAAATAAAAATAATCTAATTTGTATATTTACCTTAATTATTAACATTTTAATTAATGTACAAGGTCGTGATTAATACTCATTTAAATAATTGCTTTTTATACTTTATTTAATCGTTCTCTGATCGTTTATAATACTTTGAAATATAAAATATAATATGCACAGTAATACAGCTATTGAGATTAGAAATATTGTTAGGTGATTATTTAGCAGTACTATGGATAGTTTGAATAAAACTTTAAGTATTTAGACTTATAATATAAATCTACGTCAAATAGTTGATTGTGACGTAATGTTTTACATAACATTGATATGTTTAAAAAGCAATATGCATATGTGTGTATGTGTGTGCATATATTAATTATATATAGATGTAGGCATATTCTGTTGAAAAAAATATAATCAAAGATTTGTATATAAGATATTTAAAATATATATTTTCCTAAAACTTTTGCGATATAAATATATATACTTATTCTAATATTTGTGTTTAATCTTTACTTAAAAAAGACCAACGATGCTTCGTGCCAGTAGAACTTAATTTGTACATACTATTATTGCATAATGAGCGAGTATAAAGATTTGACGTATTGCCAGAAACATTGTTAGGTATTGAACGAGAAATATCTTGTACAGAGAACCTTTGTGTGCTACATAAACTGGATGGAATGGATTCTGAAACAACATAATTAATTATAGATAAGATAAATTTCTTTTCTTTAAATGTGGCTTGTAATAATTTATTCATTTTACCTAACAATGATGTTTCATCGTACAAGGAACCTTGTCTATTATCACAGAGAACTGAAATAGTATTGTCTGTTGATTGTGCTCGCTCAATTGTTTGCCCTACACTTCTCCAACTGCTGTGATCTTTCGAATGGGTCGTTAAATACTTCAACCATTCTTGAGCTTCTTTACTTGATTTGAATACGAATATAATCATTTTTTTAGTACCATCGATAAAGTTTGTTAATAAAAGTTTTCTGGATGATTTTTTCGATGGCTGGATAATAGTTTCCTAAGAGAAAAAACAAAATATTCAATTTTATTAGAGAGATTCATATATATATATATATATATATATGACATGATTTTCCAATATAATTGAACTAACTTTATTAATAGGAATAGTATGAATAACATTTTTCTCTTCATCTTCCAATTCTTTAGAGAGCCACGTCTTAACGCAAAAATTACGTAAACGTGCCCAATACTTTTGACCATTTATATCAATTATGCCTGCATGGATATCCGAGTTAATGCATTCGGGTTCTACTGCTAAGCGACAGCAAAAGTATCCAAAAAGTGGTAATACACAATTCTTGTTTTCTGAAAGGAAAATTAAAAATTTAGAAATATTTGAATAAAGGATATAAGAAAGCAAAATAATTATTTGAAAAATGATGTTAATGAAATAATTGTATGTCCAATCATGCGCATGCCTTATCATTACCGACTATACAGACCTTGGATATTCAAATGTGTATATCTCAAGGGTATGTCCAAAGATCTGTTGAATACATCTCATACTCTTCTAATCACAACAGAGTTATTGATGTTAGTTTAAAGCATTAAAGAAATATTGTCTCACCAACATGATTTATAACAAGATCATGCGTTCGTACACCATTATCTGTTTCTTCTATAGTCAGTTTGGCAGAGGCAGCCAGTTCAAAGCGTGGACCTCTAGAAAAATATAACAATAATAATAATAGTATCAATCTTAAAAGAGAAAATATTAATTTTAATGATTACAAATAAAAAAAGAATAATTAATAAATTTACAATTGGACGTGGTTGATTTCTCCATTAATAGATGCACCCAATTTTTTACCAAGTGTTCTGGATATTGACGAATGTATAGTTTTAGTAATTTTCAATGGAGTACTCGCAATGCTAAAATCTTCTTCCAGCATACAGCTATAAATTTCCAACGTAAGCTCAAAATCTGCTGGTACATTATAACTGTAATGAAGTAAACATATTATTCATAAATGTATATTACTATTTTAAATTAAATAGAATAATTATATTCAAAGTGCAACTCACAATATTAAAGGATCTGTAAAAGTAATATCGGTATGTGTTCTATCTATAGGACAGAGTAAACTTGTATCACATATCTCTGTGCCTATACGAGCCATGCAAAAGACAGCAAATCTTCTATAATCCCCACGATTTTTAAAATGATCCAAATCTTTCCACATTAATGGAAATCTAATCTCAGAAAGTGAAACTGTTGCTGTACTTTCTGTTGACCTAAAAGAATTATCAATTTTCTTTACTCTCAATCCTTTAATATACACATACATAAACAAATAAAATAAAATAAAAAGTAAAAAACCAATATAGGTACTTGGACAATTGGGACGAATTCTTTTTACGACGTTGTAATTCTTTTAAGTACATAGACATTTTTTCATTAGATATAAACAACGCTCGCGCTGCTTCCAAAGTTTGCGTACGATGACGAGCTGCAGCCAACAATTTCGTAGATCCATCTCTAATTTGAATTTCTACGTCTACTTTTTGTTCCAAATCACGTTCCTAGAAAAATAAAATCATTTTTAATTCAACGTTAAAATGAACATTGAAATAAAACATCAAATGTTTTTAAATTAATAAGTAATCAATATAAAGTTGTTTTTCAAATTTATTAAAAAATTTGTAAATAACATTCATAACAAAAAGTATTAAATCTTACTGTTACGTTCCTAACACTTCTAACGGTATTCCGTCTTCGTACACGCGTTTGGTAATCAGTCAGACGACGCAAATAAATATTTTCTTTTTCCGAGGCATCGTAATTCGTTTTACTAGAAGACCCTATTTTCTTTCCGCGGGTTATTATAGGAGCCATTTTAACTTAAATACTTTAAATTGAATTGTGTAGGCAAGACACAACAGGTTTCTTTCATGATGCATAATACGAATAAATGCATCGATTTGATTGGTCAACCGAAGTCACGTGATTTCAAACGAATTTTTGGACATAACCACAAAAATGTAATTACATTTTAATACGCAAACACACTTTGTACTTGGTATATTTTTGAATAAATTGTAAAGGTAAAAAATATTTAAATCAATTTAATAAGAGAATTAAAATAATAGAATTGCATTGATAACACATGAGATTTACTTTGAATAAAATTAAAAATACATACGAATGTATAATTATTATTTTTTTTGTTCTTTTTGTAATCATATCATTTTTAATTATACAATCAATACGTTAGTATTCGTTTTCATGGTTATATACACGCACTTGTGATAAACGTAATTTGCATAAATGTGAAGAAGCATAAAATTGTAACACCCAAATGGAAAGTAGAAATAATATCTAGTACAAATATATATATATATATATGTATGTATTTCTAAAATGCTCCCTTTACTTCTTGTCTTTTTCTTTTTCTTTAGCATTATCTTTATCTTTATCTTTATCTTTGTCCTTATTTTGTTGTAGGGAACCAACTGCTTGTAGAACAGTTTCCGACTGTGGATCAACACCAGGTAAATTTTCTAAAACCGATTGTAAAAATGCAGCATCTGACATAACAGCACTATAATCTTCTTCTACTTCCATTGCTTCTTCTTTCTGCGTTTCGAGATCTTCTAAAATAGAAAAATTATTTCGTGTAAATCGAAATGATCAAAAGAAATATATATTTATATTTTGATCAACTATGTATATATTAGATCAGATATTAGAACTTACGTTGATCTTGCATTGACATCTGCATTGCAAAAGCAATTTGTTCTTCTTCTGACATATTAGCAAAATCAGGTATATTAGCAGTAGTTGGAGCAGTATTATCAGCAGTAGACGACGTTGTTTCTTCAGCTCCTTCGAGTGACATTGCCAATGCTCGTTTTAGCATTGCTTCTTCATTAGTTACTTCCTTAATAGTTTCAGGTTGCTTGTTCTGAACATCTTCAGTAACTTGCGCTCTACGTGCTTCGTCTTCTTGTCTTTGACGTTGTTCCTCCATGGAAACACGTAATGCCTAAAAGATAGTATTCAGAAATTTTCATATTCATTCGTCATATATCTGTTTAATAAAAGTTAAATATGAATATATATATGTATATACCAATGCCAGTTCAGGATCTTCATTAGGATCAACACCAAATTCAAATGCAGCGCCACTCATTCCTGCCCCACCCATTCCATCTTCTCCTTGAATAATAGGAGAAGAGATCAAAGCATCCGATAAATGTGGGCCAGGTGGTACAGTGACAAGGTGGCTACCAGTCCCATCTTTACCATTTAACGCATTGATAAAAGCTGTTAAAATTTCGTTATTAATGCTTTCTTCCCCAAAACTTATTATATCTACATTGACCTTTTCTTTTTTAAGTCGCTTTGCTAGCTTGATCAATTCTCTTTCATCTATATCCACTGGACTTCCAACAAATGCTACTATTCGCATCTTGTGATTCTTACCCTGTCGATGCTTTAACGCTAACTATAAATAAAAAGTAGATTAATCAACAAATTTTTATAACGGATCTATGAACAATTCTTTTTTTTTTTCCTCACTCTTCTTCAACGAATACTTACATGTGCAATTCTAATTCCTGTGACTAAACATAAGTGTCCATTTGGTTGAACTTGATGAAGCTTAGAAAGTATTCTTCCAACATCGCTCGTAAGAGTTGCTAAAACTTGAACGCTAGACGAAGATCAATAATAATAATAATCAGTAATAAAATTTTTTTAACTTTCCATTATTGTTTAGATTAAACTAATACATTATATATAAACTCACTCGGCAAGTGTTATAAGACCAACATTATTTTCAGGATTTGAACGGGTCTTAGAATGACATACTAAATTAACTGCATCTTGTTGAGCTTGTAAACGAGTTGGCAAAAAATCTCCATTTCTCATGTAGTCGCTGTTGTCGACACTATTAACAAACGTGTACAAATCAATTTTAAATTACAGACTTATATATGAGTTATTAAATAACGATATATATTATACGAGTGTGGATTAAAAAGTTTTTAGCTTATGTCAAAAGATAAAAGTTTGACAGAAAAAGAATTGTTTTTATGTTAGGCTCAGAACTTTTCATCCTATCTACGTATGATAATAAACAACTAGATAAAAAATTAAATGTACACATTTTATATATATATATATACACGCGACATACATATGTATACATGTGTATGTATATATATATTTAGAAAAATTTTTTTTTTAAAGCAAAAGATATATTGTTTTCATATCTATAAAAAAGAGAGATATATATCGATATATGTATTAAATATTCGATATATATTTTAAAATTGTTTGAGAATTTCGAAATTCTTCTGAGAAGTTTGCATTGTCATCTCAGGAAGCATAAATTTACGAATGAGATTATTAGATACTATAGGATATTTTCTCCCCATAAATTTTTTTTACCTGTAAAAGAAAAGAAAAAGCTTCGCGATTAATAGAAATAAATAAATATAATATAAGGATAATTTGTTTTTGTTAAATTATTTATTAAAACGTACCATATCATTGTACTTTCCAGCACCATCTTGTAAAGATACACCAATCTTTGCCGTTAACTATTCACTGTTTTCACAACCTCACCACCTTATTCACGTTTTAACATCACTGACCATCGATCAAATAAGTAACCTAGAAATGCATGTACCTTCATTCGAATTGGTTCTCGTACAATTTATTAGGTTTATAGGACTGAAGACAACGCAAGTATTTTAGGTTGGCAATACTTCGTCTATACGTGAATACTTGCTTTTAGTATCGCAAATGATAAAATAATTAAATAAAAAAATAAATGTTGTGCTGATAATTTATAATAAATTAATTAAAAATAAAATTAATAATGAATCCAAAACGAAAATTTAATATTTTATTAATTATTAATTATATATTAAAACATTTTGAAGTTTTTTATTGATTGTGAACACTATTCTTGCATTGTTTTTTAAATTTATCATGTTTCTTTTATTTCTTTGCAAATACTGCATTTTTATATTTGTGAAAATATAAATTAATCTTTTGTTTATTTGCATGTATAGTGTATATTATTTCAACTATTATTAATTTTTCAGTGTTTGTTGTGTAACTTTAAATATATATATATCAATTTGTGATTAGAATTAAATAAGAAGTTTAAATTTGATCATTTATTAATTACAATGTTTCGATCAATATATATAATATTATTATTTTATTTACATATATCATTATGTAGAACAGAAAATATTGTATTAATTATTGCTGACGATTTAGATTTAGTTCTCGATGGGATGGTAAGGATATCATTTAAAATAGATGTAATAGCGTTATTTTCATTTTTATTAATTATATCTAATTAATTTTGTGTAGACACCGATGAACAATACGTTAAATCTTATTGGAAGTAAAGGTGCAACATTTGTTAATCATGTATGTGTTGAAATTATTTATAATATCCTTTGGATTTAAGATTATTTCAATGTATTATCATGATTAATTGATTATATAGTTTGTAGCATCTCCAATCTGTTGTCCTAACAGAGCTTCCATTCTAACTGGTAGATATCAACATAATCATTTAACAGTAAATAATTCTATTTCCGGAGGTTGTAGCAGTATTGAATGGCAAGATAAACAGGAACCTAATACTTTTGCAGCATATTTAAAAAATGAAATGAATTATGTTACATTTTATGCTGGAAAATATTTGAATAAGGTGCAATAATTTATTTAATTTAGAATTAAGTTTCCTTATAAGCATTAAATATAACTTGAATTTAATAGTATGGTAGTAAAAGCGTTGGTGGAATCAAACATATTCCACCAGGTTGGGATTGGTGGGCAGGGCTTGTTGGAAATTCTAAGTATTATGATTATACTTTGTCCATTAATGGTACAAGAAAACGATATGGTGATAAACCTGAGGATTACCTCACAGATGTGATAGTAAGCCAATTAAACATTGAAAATCATAAATATTAACCCTTTCGATATTACCAGCGACTATAGTCACCCCATATCTGTGCTTCCTATGTATTACCGGTGACTATAGTAACCCATTGATATTTTGCATTGGTTTACAATTTAAAACATTTTAATATTTTAAAATGCATTATATTATATTATTCTATCTACTTTGCAATAAAATGTGTTTGTGTTGTAACTGGTCAACACAGTATCCATACAACAGAAGCATACTTCCAAATAATTTTCATGTCGAAAGGGTTTATTTAACAAAAATCTTCTACGAATGAAATTAATATTTCATTACTTTATATTATAGAATGATATAGCCATGGAATTTTTAAATCAATATAATTCTAACAATAATCCTTTCCTAATGGTATTGTCACCTCCTGCACCTCATGCACCTTTTACACCAGCTATAAGGCATATCGATAAGTACAGAGATATCAAAGCGAAGAGAACACCAAATTTTAATACTTTCACTCAAACAGTAAACATATTTCTTTATTATTATAAAAATGAATTCAATACCAAGAATTATGTTAATTATTATTTATCAATAGGATAAACATTGGTTGGTCAGAAGAGGACCTTCACCTCTTCCATTGAAAATCTTACCTAAATTAGATGAAATTTATAGACGAAGATGGGAAAGTCTTTTAGCTGTTGATGAACTTGTTAAAAATGTCTACAATATGTTAGAACAGAAAAATCTTTTAAATGATACATATATTATTTTTACGTCAGATAACGGATATCATATTGGTAATAGGTATTTAATATAGAATGATTAATTAATATGTTGAAGAACCTATTTTGCTTATTTCTATTTACAGGACAATTTAGTATGCCAATGGATAAACGTCAATTGTATGAAACTGATATAAGAATTCCATTATTGATTAGTGGTCCTGGAATTCCTCACTCGACAATAACTGCACCAATTAGTAGTGTAGATATATTTCCTACGATCTTACAGATAGCTGGCTTAGAATATCCTTCGGATGGAACATCTTTTTTAAACAAAAAATTATCAAACGATAGAACAGTTTTAATAGAATATAGGGGAGAAAAATCTAATCATAAACCAAATTCCGGATGTCCTAGTGACAATGATTTAAATCTCGCTGTAAGTAAAATATAGAGAGGGGGAAACAAAAAATTAATATATTCATAAAACTTTTTAATAACGTTTATATTTCGTTTATAGCTTTGTAGTCAAGAATATGCTTGTAAATGCGAGGATGTTGGAAATAATACTTATAGTTGTATTAGACGTGTTTCTCCACTACATGATAATATTTTTTGCATATTTGAAGACAATGAGGTATTAGGAAAAATAATTTAACGTACACATATAGAGTTGCATTATTGAAATGATATTATTTTATTCTTCTTAGGGATACATTGAGGCTTATGATCTAAAAAAGGACAATTATCAAATGAATAACATCGGTTATAGTATGAAACGTTATCATAGGTATAAATTTAGGAAACGTCTTAAGAAGATGGTTTCTTGTCAGAACAATGAATGCATTTTTACAAACTTAGGAAATACATATTATTAATCATATATATAGATCTAAGTAATATCGTAATATATGCATAAATATTATAATATACTTAATATAAACTTTAATATTACAAAATAGTTATTTTTGATAATAAATAAACACAAATAACTAGATATTGAAAGTTTGAAGTGCCGATAGCCGTCTTACTTCGTATTATTGCGTTTATGGAAATCGCGTATGGCGGATAGGTCGTGAATCTGGATATAAGAATAACTCGCAGCTTCCTCTCTCGGAGCTACTTCCCTATCGAGCTGTTTTCTTAGCAAATATTTTTATTAAACCCCGCGGTCTCGAATATCTGAATAGCAATCGGGCTATTTGGTAGAGAAAAAGAGAAAGAGAGTAAAGAGAACGACGCAGATAAAACGTATAACTTTAACTTCTCCATAGCGAGATATTTTTTCAACTAAAACGTTTTGAATTCTATGCGGATTTGCGCCGAACGAATAGGCGAGAGATCGATCGATCGATCGCAATATGAATATAATAAATTCAAGATGTATTTATTAAAGAAGTAAAAACACCCTATTACTTATATTATGTTTAATACATTTATCAATCAATTATGATATATATATATATATACAAGATTATTATTCAAAATCTATCATTATATTATATTCATCTACTTTGATCAGTAGTTGAATATCAAATTAATTCAATAATTGTTATTTCATATTATAGCTAGTTATTTCATGAATCAACAGATTTCACGCTTTAACGGTAACATATATATATATATGAATGAGAAGAATAGTATTTAAAAGTAGAATAACGTCTAAAATATAACACATTTTCGATCGAAATCGGAACAAAAGAAGGACTCTCCGAATTGTTGTAAAAGGCACGAAGCGTGTAAGAATCGAGAGATCGATTGGTTGAGGATTAAAGATCTTTGGTTCAAATTGTAAGGTCGTTACATCGCTACTGAAACGTATAAGTCGGCTTGCGAGAAGTCCTCTTGATTCTTTCTTTCTTTCTTTCTTTTCTTTTTTCTTTCTCTCTTTTTCTTTTTCTCATTCTCTTCATTGATCATTCGAGCGAGTGATCGCCTTTATGTATACCAGGATCAATAGCTTTCGTTGGCTTCCAAACTGCGGATTCTCGGTTTTCTACGCCCCCCCTCAGTGATCTGCATTCTCGCGTGTATGCTTACCGATTTATGCCACAAAATAAATCACAAAAAGAAGCAACGATTCTTTTGGATCATGTCGAGTGAGAGAAAGAAACGCATTGAAAATTTCAATACACCATTGTTCAATCACGAAATTCGCGTGTTAAATCTTTTTTATAATATATATATATATATATATATATATATATTTTGAGAAATTTCAAGGGAAAAATTCCAATCGCATTTGATTTCTTTTTTCTTTTCTTTCCTTTTCATATCCGGTTATCGATTATTTTCTCCTTTTTTTGTTATAATAAATATTTTTTTTTTCGTTTTTGTTATTAAAAGAATAATTTCCTTTTTTTTTTTTTGAAATCTTTTCTAATTAATGAGATTCTTCATTGAAATACGGTAATTAATCATCGTCGATCTATATCGTGTAAGCAAGCGCAGCTGTGATACATAATAAATTATATTCACCCCCTTCCTTCTTTCACCCTCTCTCTCTCTCTCTCTCTCTCTCAGTTTATATTTATTCATTTCTCTCTCACTTTTCTTCTTCCTTTATTTCTTACACAATGTTTCTTTCATTCTAAGCTCGACAACGCGGAAAATGCGAATTTACAGAGTGAATTAACGAATCGGAAAATAACAAGGTAGAAAATAGATAAAAAATTCCTTTGACGAAGTTTACACTGATCTCGTGGTATACGCATCACAAGATTCAATAACTCAAACGTGTCTTCGTGATTTAACGAGAAAATAATAAAAATCAAAATGTAACGATACGATTGATATTATTTATTAAGATAATATCAAAATATATTCTTTTTAGTAATATTCGAAATAATTCAATAGTACCGTTTGACTTCTTCCAATCCGTGATTTTCAAGATGAAAAATCATGAAAGAATAATTATTATAAATATGTTCAGTAATTTTATGAACATAATAGTATTAAAACATTTTTACAAAAATATATTTAATAATCAATAATTGTTTATTTTTAATAATAGATCGAGAAATTTCAAATATACGACGCGTTGTTTAACACGAGACTAATTTTTAAAATATGACAAATTTTGGAAAGAAAACAATAATTGTAGGATGTCTCACAAAAATCGATTTGTCAAAGAAAAAAAAAAAGCCGCGATAATATAATAATACATTTCTAATTTTAAATTAAACTTTTGTCGGGACAACTTGTATTGCCTTAAATTTCTAATTATTATATTATCATTGATTTAACACATTTTTATTGTCGACAAATTAATTATACCTTTATATATATATAAATAACCATGAATATTTAAGGGATGATGAGATAACCGAGGAGATGATTTTTGGATAATTCAGAGTTATATAGATGAACGATATGTATGGTAAGAGGTTCGCATTACCGAGACTGGCTTACACGAACAACAGTAGTCAAATTAAACAGGAGGCTATTAACTGGGTCAACATTTCAGGTTTGGGGTAAGTACTTAGTACTACGAAGGACTTCGCGCTCGAGCGCACCTAAATACATTTGTGTGAGAGGTCTGATCTTTTGTCGAAGGATAAGTGTTAACTCATATATATGTACACGTATATACATACGTGTATTAAATGTATAAATGTATAAATGTTAAGTCGTGTGCGCGTGGGGGATAGGAGGAGTTCTATGCCGAACGAGAGCAAAACGGTCGTGCCGGTCGACCTTAAATAAATATCTAATGTGCGCGACCGACCGGGCCCTTATTGCTCCCGCCAATATTGTTTTAGGCACGGCCCTTGGCGAATTGAGTTTTGTAACATGAGAAACGATTCGTACGTGTAACTGGCAAGAGCTACCTAGCTAGCTAGCCAGCAGCCGATAGTCAATAGCCAGGTATAATAGTTTTCGTTTGATTGAACGAGCATCGTTATTATTTCCAGACAAATTTTGACAATAATAATAAAAAGGATAAAATTAATAAAAAAGAAAAAAAAAAAAAAAACAAGAAAAGACAATTAATTGTTCCAGTTACAAAATATCATCACGAACGCGCAAAATTCACATTCGATGAAATTACAATTTCTTATCCGAAAAAAAAAACAAGAAAAGAAATAAAGAAATGAAACAACAAATGAAAAACAATATGAATAATCATAGGTAAATATACACATAATAATCACATTGATTTTATGATATTATATGTATTATTTTATGAAACGCGTGAAACTAGATATTGTTTAAATCTCGTGGAATGGAATATAAAAGTACGTATTTAGGTAGTATTTCGTCAAATCGTCAAGGATCTAACTTGAAGAGGTTGTGATGGCAATAACGTTGCGTTCAAAGGCTGCTTGCAGCAGGCAAGCAAGGTGATAGCGGAAAATACATTTCACTCTTTCTCTTTCTCTCTCTCTCTCTTTCTCTCTCTTCCTCTCTCTCTCTCTCTGTCTGCGGCTCGTTTCACTTTTCCGGACGTACGGTGTAAGGTTTGGCTCGGCTCGTATTTGTCGCGGAAATAATTAATTAACAGCCTCCACCCCTTCTTCCTTTTCTACCAGCATCGTTCTCTTCCTCCGTTTAACCTTCTCTTTCTCTCTCTCTTTCTCTCTTTCATTTTGTGTCTCCCTCTCTGGTATGTACCTCCTCCCCTTAACCGTTTCTCGCTTCTCTCCTCTTCCTCTTCCTCTTCCTCTTCCTCTTCTCTTCTCTTCTTCTCCACCCTTCGTTTTTCCGTTCCTCTCTCTGAATCCCTCGACCCTTCCACCCCTCTCTATCTCATAACTGCGCTTGCCCCTTTACTACTAATGCTCGGCGAACGCCTTTTACCTTTTACAACCCTTATTACCGTGTCGCAGCTCGGTTAACGCGAGGAAGTTAATGAAAAACTCGTGCAAATATAGAATTTTTCGTAAAAACTACAAATTACTACGGCGTCGGCGTTTCGTGGTGGCGGTGGTGGTACCGGTGGTGGTGGTGGTGGTGGTGGTGGTACCGGTTCCGGTGCCGTTACCGGCCGACGTATAGTAGAGTAGTCAGCTCTCTCGTAACGTATTCACTCGCTTTTTCCTTTTCCCGAAAATTGTTTGACGAGGCGAGCAATTTGAAATAATAATAATAATAAAAAAGAAAGAAAGGGAGAAGAAAAAAAGAGGAAAAGTCCAAAATGAAATTCGTACGTACGCAGCTTTTGAAAGAACGCGCGCGCGCACACACGCTCATGACGAGATTTTCTTAAAAGTTAATTCTCAAATGAAATAAAAGAATTTTCTAACATATTTCATTTCTTTTTTATCGTTTAATTTTTTTCAGAAAAGATATTATAAATATAATGAATAATAATATCGAATATAAATATGCGTTGGATCGAAGGATAGAAATGATGGGATGTATCTACATTACTATCACCACTTCCTCACACTTGTGAGATGTAAATTTAAAGAGATTAAAAAAAAGTAACAAAATGGGTAATAATTATAAATAAATTTGTAATGAGAAATATTTTGGTATATAAATGGAAATGATATTCGTCGTCATAGTCATCGTAGTCGTAGTCGTAGTCGTAGTCGTAGTCATAGTCGTTTCCCGTATTATATTATTACACCCCGTGGTGCTGTTTTGTCAGCTTAAAACCAGAGGCCATTAGCAGGTATTATTTTAGCCGTGATCCGCTGTTAGCGAGAACAATGGCGCCGGTACGCCGATGTCCCACGATATTAAATGAAGCGAAGTGATACATTTCGAGGGGATAGACGAGCAAATAGGGATGATACCCTGGGAGGAAAAGGGGCAACGACAGGAATCGGAGCAAAAGCAGAATAGAGTCGAGAAAGAGAGAGAGAAAGAGAGAGAAAGATGGTGGGGAATGAGATAGTCAAAGAGGAGAGGAAAAGAGAGGAGAGGGGGGCGGAGAGGTAAAGAG